CTTGAAGTTCCAATAGTCTCTGCTCTCAAATATTGTCACATTATGAGGCTTCCTAACCCTTGGCAGATAAGATCAGATTGTGCACCCACATGCTCCAACATGATAATAATCAAAATTATAATCCAGCATGTAGTCCATAAAGTTTGTGCTCTACACTGGCTGGAACCTCTGCACCTCCATAATTTAACAGCACATACCATCACATTCTGCACAGAATTAAGCTCCATGCCCCTTCACCATGTCCAATCACAAAGTGAAAATCTGTGGGAGAATATGGTCTACCTGCCAGTCACTTTATACTGAACTATGATCAGTTTTGAAAATCTGAACACCATTTACATTTTTTTCCTAGAAAATTATACAACTCAATTAAAAGCTAACATTGTACTTCTCTATATTTACCGGCTTCACTTTGTCTTGAATGAGATTGAAAACTGCCTGGAATCATAATACAAATATTTCATTTGTGCATATGATATTATGTACAAAGATTCTACCAGAGAATGATTATAATTTGCATCTGTATTATCAAAGCTGTTATTGAATAAATAGCTCAACCCTTGAATGTCCTTTTAAGCATTCAAGCATGTCAATATCTATTAAAATTGATAAGTACTACAGAAAGATATTAGAAAGAAGATATGCACTCAGTTACTAGTTGAGACAGAGAACATAATCTCAGGCCTCAAATGTGAATCTATTATAATTCAGTCCGGAATATTCAGTCTTTAGTATCTCTTGTTCACTAACATATATTGATCTTTTCAAAAGTAAGGAAGCTTTTATCGCCACATCAATTTTTGATCCTATGCCCTTCAGCAACCTTAAACATTACTTAACCAAATGTGGCTAACTTAATGACAAGCTTTACAGAAATGCCCATACTTAAAACTCAAAGCTATTAAATTTGGAAATTTTATGAAAAATAATTATAAATTTGGTTTTAATAATTACATGCAAACTTTGCTTAGATGACTCTAGGACAAATAATATAAGTCTAAAATAGGAAGATAGAATAAGAGCTCAAATTATGTTTGATAAATATTTACAATTTCAATTTCCCAGTCAAATACCAAATAAATAAAAATGAGAAATAAAAAGAGCACTTTCCAAGTGTTCATCATAAAAAAGAAAAGTACAAAATGTTCTGCAGATGCAACATAACTTAATCAGGAAATCACTTCATGAAGAAAGTACTCTTTCTTATTAAGATGAGGAATCTGCAGCGTAAAAGATTAAAATGAAGACCAAAGGCCTCACAAAGGAAGAAGGCAAACCACAGATCCATAACCCTATTGAGTTCTCATAGAAAGTGTGACTCAAGCAAATTCTTTAAAGGTTATAGCCAGAGTAGAAAGAGAAGAAGCCATTCCACCCTCTGTTCCTACACTATGTGTCAGTGAGTAAGAAGATGGAATGTTCTGATTAAGAACCAACAAGCACAGCAACTAAAGATGTATTTTAAGGCTTGTATAGACTATGATTTACCTTCTTACTTCTGTCAAATTTAGGTTGAATTGCATGTGGTACTCATGAGGTTTATATTATGGGGAACTTAGCTGCAATCATTGATACAAACTTTTTTGAAGAAATATGAAAAATATTTTCCCAGATGATGATAGGCGTATGTACTGTCATCAAACATCAAACTTCTCCAAATAAGTGTGACTGAAGGCAAAGTTTCTCAGGCTTGAAAGTCCTAATCATTCTAGAGGCTCTGGGAGGGAGTTCATTTGGTAGCAGCTATGATTGTGTCCTTGAGAAACATTAGAATTTCAAACACCCTGGAAAGGGTGTTTTCAACTTTAATCTAAAATGTGAATGTTCCTAAAATATACTGAAGATTTTGTTATTATACAGATTCCAATCTAGTTGCTGTGGGTAAACCTAAGATTATGGTATTATAAAATGTTCTTATGTAATATTGTTACTCTTACATTAAGAATCATGCTTTGGGTCTCTATCCCCTCTTCTGCAAGAAGCTTCTCTGATGAGGGTAGAGAACTGAGTTATAGATGTAACAATATGTCATTAGGAATTGTTTCATGCTATGTTCATTTAGCAGAATAATAGGAGTAGGTTTTCCCTTGGACTCATCACCTATCTAATCTGAATTATTTGCCCTTAATATAGTCAGTTGATACAAGTCAGATTCTTTCCTGGGAAGACACAATGCACAGATATGTCTACTTAATCCATATAGGGAGTGTATAACAGGTTAAAGTATGGATACTACCTAAGTCCCATTTGGTGAACCAGATGAGTTTTATCAGGATTACTTATAGGAATATGGTGAATGAAGTATTACTTACAGGAATAGGAATGAGCCAAAGACAGCTGAATCATCAAAGCCCACTCTAGCATGAATGACAGCACAAAAGAGCCAGAAGAACACAATGTACAGCTTGCAGATAACTCAAAAGGCCAGAGAGCGTACTCTCCAGGTGCTTAGCTGGTTGCTTCTGAGGGACTGCTTTTCTGGACTCAGGGTCTTCTTTGTAGATGAACTCCTCTGAGAGTTTTTCTTGCAGCATGATTTGTCTAGGAGTGAAGTCAGCAGTCTTGAGTGTTTACTCTTGGCGAGTAAAGGGGTCTAATGAAGCTGGTCAGTTTGGAGCAACACCCTAAAGTTATTTAAAGTTGTTTATTTTTTGTCTTAGGTAGCCTCCCTGCGGGTGAAATGCTTCCTCAAATGAATAGTGTTTTGTCTTCAGGTTATGGAGGGAAAGCAGTAACATTAGTAATAGCCTGTAATATTTGTAATGTTTAGGCCAACACCTTAATAATATGTAACTCATCCCTAGCATTGGGAATTTTATTTGGTAGTATATGATTTCTAATTGTATTATCTTCTCATACCTCCAAACCTCCACTTAAACACATTTCACATGTGTATATATTTTAGGAAGCTTCTCAGAGAGTCGATTACCATATAGCTTTTCAAAAGGCCTTCAGTGTTAGGTGTCGTTTCCCTTATTTCCTCTTCTTTCATGCACTCTAATTCTCCTCTCACCTCATGTTCCTGTTACAATTTCTTGTGTATCCATTTGCAATACTATACTCTTTCTTAGAAGAGCCCCTCTTCCCCCTTGATCCCTGTGGATATCCTGAATGAAATGAACATATTTCAGGCTAATCAATACAGAGACTCATACCTTGCAAGAAAAATTTGCAGAAAGTGGGAGACTTTGGGCCACTCAGCAATAAATGTCTTTATTGTAGTCAAGATAAAAAGTGTTTGGTCATTGATATTCCCAGTTTTCTCTATAGAGGAGTACACAATGAACAAATATTTCTCTACTGTTTAAGTCATAAATAAAAAAATAAATTGTTTAAATAGTTTTTAAAGCCCTTAGAAGGACTTAAATTATGACTTGAATGAATAGGATACAGGATGTGATACAGAGAACACTTGTGATGGAAGGAAGGAGAAATGCAAATGCACACAGAGTTACATGAAAAGGTAGCATAGAACCCAGCTCCCACGTACAGTGAAGTGAGGATCCAATAAAGCACTAAGGTTAAATTCCACTATGAGGCAATTATATCAGAAAAGAGGAAGAAGATATTATCCGAGGTGAGAGAATTTGTAGTTTTTTTTGTCATGTGACAGATACCAAATGAGGCAATATGAGACTGAGCAGCCTACTACAAAATGTGTCTAAGGTTTGTATTCTTAGTATCTCACTTTTTCAAATACGAATGAGATTCTCTAAATGTATTCTTATGCTTATAGAGTTTTTTAAAAATATTATTTATCCAAGTGTTGAAGTTCTAATAACAGACCATTAGATTACAGCTGTATCTTAAAAGGGGAAGAAAAAATATCCCTCAGTATTAAGAATGAAATATCATATGATTTGGGACTATCCTATTTTCATTTGAAAAATTTAAGAATGTTTCTGATTGTGAATAACTTTGTTATGACTGCAAACAAATAAACGGAAAATGACCATATTCTTGATGGTTGGAAACTACTAAGATTCTCTCAATTCTTGACACTGAGTCCATAATTAGCGTGTCTTATCAACTATTCAGGATTTGATCTCAGGTACTAATCCACTGCCATAATACCTCTAGCGTTAGCTAATTATATTTGCAAAGACCCCATTTCCAAATAAAGTTACTTTCTGGTTTTACAACAATCCAAGAACTTTTGTGTAATACTGTTCAACAATAATTATTTATTGTTGTTTGTCATATGTGTTATTTACACAGTTTATATTAAAATTGTTTACTTTGCTTAGATGGCACTACAAATGCCTGATTGTGGCAAATTTCCTTGAAATCTTTTCTGCATGGTGACATATTCAGTTTTCTTAATACTATATAGTTACAAACTAAAAAGAGTCAAGGTTGTTTTAAACTGTTGGCAAAACGATGTCAGTGAACTTTATGCTTTCTTTGTTTACCTGTCATGCTTATATATCATTTCTACTCTCTATATTTCTAGTTAGAGTCTTAAAACAATTCACTCCACTAGTGTGTTATTGTGGGTGCAAAATTCAAATTCTTGCTCTCCAGATTCTTCCATCATGACCATTTGAAAGCAGCAATCATGAAGTTATTTCCTTCATTCTGGCTTCTAAAATGCCAGTCTAAGCAACGGATGCAATCTTACAATAAACAGTAAATAACACATAAAATGTGTTAAGTAGTTAAATATTGATGGCTAACAATGGAAAAAAGAGAGTACAGGAGTAAGAGGCACTTAAGGTGTGGACTTTGAGGCCACTTGTATCAGTGACATCTGGAAAAAGTGAAAAAAAAACAAGAATATGAAAGTGTAAAAATAATAATTAATAATAATAATAACATTACAGAAAGAGCAGTTAGAAAGGAGAAGGTCCTGGAGTAGTAATATACTGCCCATTGTCCCGGGATAGTAAGGACACAGGCAAGGTATGACTGTGAGACATTTAGTGACAATGACTTCATGACACCAGTTCAAAATTTGGTTAGCCATTGTAAAGACTTTGGCTTTTATTCAGCATAAGGACAGGCCCCCTATGAGATCTGATTAGTGAAACATAAAATTTCCTATGATAATTTTTAAATTCTCCATAGAGATGCTAGAAGATGGAGAAGAAAACAAAACGCCTGGAATTGAAGGCTTGACATAGTCAATTCTGAGTCAGTGGAAGCTCTGATGACAGCATGCATAGTCCTCATAAGTAAAGCAATGAAGTCAACTTGATGGAGAGTAATTCGTGGCTTCTAAGAAATTGTCTTTGAGGTCAAATTACTCTTTATATAAGAAAATCATAGGCATGTCCTAAACAGATACAATAAAAATGAAACAAATTATATATTAGAGACTACTCTAAAGAAGGAGAGGAAGAACAATACAGCCACAGGACATGGTAACAATGCCAGATATGAATAACAAAATAACAGTTTTAACTTTTTATTTCTCCTTTTAAAATGCAAAGGATTAAGAACGTTACCATGTGTTATATACAATAAGTTATGCCAGGGAAAGAGTTTCTTAAATATTTCATAATGTAGGTAAGCACCTAAAATTTTGTGCTAGCTATTTTTTCATATAATATCTAATTGTAAAGTAATTAATCATCAGGTGTATCAGAAATGATATTATAAATAGAGTCTTGAGCTGAACATTCTCATATAGTGGTACTGAGACCTGCTGAATTAGGTTCCAAGAACAATCACTAAAACTATCTATATGAAGAGCACTTATATACTTGAAAAGGTGATCTCATTATCTAGACTCCATTATAAAATATGTCTGTATTCTACAGGAAGCAATCAATAACAATTCCAGATAACTTCATTATAAAATATTGATAATATTTTGTGGTAAAGATGAAAATAATTTAAAATTTTTATGATAGTAATAAAAGAACTGACAGGATAAAGTGTTCAAATTTAGCAAAACTTAAATAAAAACTTAGTGTATAATTCCAAGCTACTTTTCTTCTTTATCTTTATTGTATTTTGATTTTTCTGTTGAGTATAAATTAATTTTGCTATGAGAACCAAACATGAACTACTTTTAAAAAAGCTCAGCACATTATGTTACTGTTTTTATTTCTTTTCTAATGCATTGCTTAAAGATTTAGAAAGAAATGTTTACATATCTAATAAATGTTCATATATATACATATCATATATATGTATATATATATATATACATCATATATATATATATATATATATATATATTTACATACATAAAGAAAATGAGGCTGTTTACTTAAGAAGAAATGGAAGTAGACACAAGAGAGGCTGGAAGAAGTGTAGAATGATATCAATTATAATCCACAAACATGGAATTTTTAAAGATCAAAACTAAAATTAATCTGTATTCCCCTGAACATCCACACTCCAGTGTCATTCCCTTCCCCACATCCTGTCTTTCTGTGTTTATAATCCCTGTGTCAATGAATTACGATTTGAGAAAAAATAAATTAAAAATAAATTTAAAAAAACTAAAATTAAAACAAATATTCAAAAGTACCATTTATATAACTAACAGATTTTGGAAGTTATTTAATATGATTTTAATCAATTATAAATGACAAAATAATTTTGTAAGGTAAATATTTATAAAAATAAATTATATATCACATATATAATAACTTGTTTTTTATTTTTTTCTGTTAATAATATCTTAGATTTTATAATTATCTATTTTAACTATATATAAAACTTAAGTGAAATCATTAAAAACATATTTTCTAGAAAATTTTATCATAGTAAGACTGTTATGACCTTGGCATAAGTAAAGATCTTACAGACAGGAAACAAATTTAAGTTATAGATAGGAAGCATCAAAGGAAAATAATGGCAATATATTCCGTATGTGGCTGGAGTGATGCCTCAGCCATCAAAAGTACTTGCTGCTTTTGCAGATGACCTGGATTTGGTTCCCAGCACCCACATAACAGCTAACAATAATCCTTAAGTCTAGTTCCAGGTGACTCAACACACTCTCTTCTGGCCTCTGCAGACATGTGACATATATACATACATGCAACCAAAACAACACACACACACTCACACACACACACACACACACACACACACATACATATATATATATATATATATATAGAGAGAGAGAGAGAGAGAGAGAAAGGATAAACACTCATATATACATATATATAATGAAAACAAATAAATCTTTAAAAATAATGCATTACTTCTAGGCATTGGTGGCTCACGCCTTTAATCCCAGCAGAGGCAGGTGGATCTCTGAGTTGGAAGCCAGCCTGGTCTACAGAGTGAGTTCCAGGACAGCTAGGGCTATACAGAGAAAACCGTGTCTCGAAAAACCAAAAAAAAAAAAAAAGCATTATATTTTATCAAAATTTAAAATAACTGCTCTTTCAAAAACATATTTTTTAGAAGTAAACCAATAGATAACCTAGTTTGAAAATGAGAAAACATTGAACAGTTCATAGAAAGACTACAAAGGAAGCATAAAAAAATAGGAACATTCTATAGTTAACAAAGAAAAGCAAATAATGAAAATAACAATTGATACTACAAAACCTTAACTAAATTGGTTTCAAGTTAACACACATGTCTATGAAGCTCTGGCAAGGATGCTGAGGAACCAGAATGCTCCCACGCTGCAGAGGGGAGCAGAAAACAGTCTAACAAGTTGTCAAAACAGACTGGCAGTACCTCACAAAATTAAACACACACTTAGCATATGACTCAGCATTTCTACTCTTTGGTATCTTTCCAGGAGTTATAGAAACATATGTCCGCACATAGACTTGTACATAAATGTAGCAGGATCTATTCATCACAGTTAAAACATGAGAACTACCTAAATGCCCATTAAGGGAAAGATAAACAATTGCTGTCTATCCATATGTCAGGGTTTAAATTTCAATGGATGCCTCATGCATAGGCCGTGGATTCCTGTTCCCCAGTGTGCAGCTGTCTAGATGTAGAGTCTAGAGGAGGTGGTTAGATAACAGGGGCAGAACCTTCCTCAGTGGAGACAGGCTGCTACAAAACGCTGATGGAGGTGGGTCTTCCTCACTTGGTCTCCCATTTTAAGATACAATGGCCTTACTCCGGAGTATAAAGTGTGTCCTCTTGGGACCGAAAATTCAATGAGTTGACATTAGATTACCAACATTCAGAGGCTAGAACAAATATACTTTAATTCTAAATAAATTATACTGTGTCAGGTATTCAGTTTGACGGAATCACTGAAAATGCTCAAAACCGTGATTAACCTAAAAATCCTAACGCTTAGCAAACACAGTCAGGCATAGGAGTTGGTGGGTATAAGACCCTAGTCTTCAGATTCCTACAATAGATCAAACTAAACAATGTTTATCAAAATTAGGTTAGTGAATGTCAAGCTGGCTGACTGGAAATATGAAGTAATAATTTGCCATGGATGATTACATAGTTATGAGGAAGAGCCAGGGGCCTATATTTCAAAATCTATCAAAATTATTTAACATTAAATTAAATTAACCATTTGGATAAATACCTCAGTATGATAATTTGAAGTTATACATCCCTTAATTGTTCCCAAACTTGTATTCATTAAGAGGCTTACTCAATTACTAACAATGAGACCTGTACTATAAATCAGTTTATTCTTGATTCTCTTGCTTTTCAATTGGATTTTACCATTTCAAAGTTGTCAGTATTATTTTATTATAATCATTCATTATCTCTGATTTTTTGCACTCCATGCTTTTCCTGTCTGAGTAAATACCCACTAACTAGACCCTTTTCGAAATTGTCAGTATCACTGCTGCATATAGACTGATTCCTCATGCCTACCTGATACACATTCTATTAGGAGCGCCTTCAATATTACCAATATTAACACATGCATGCAATGACATTTTCTATGCCTCTGTAGGAAAAAGCAGTATTAATTCTGAAACACAAGGCAGATTATGAGAAGGAAAAAAGAGAGAGCTTCTGGGCTGTAAAATTGAATGGCAAATCAAATTATAAAGAACAGTGAAAGACACTTTTAAGAATTAAAGCAAGGCTATCTGTGTAACAACAAATCCGAAGCCTACTTTCTATATAATAATTCATTTATTTATTTAAATCATAAACATAAATTCTATGATGATGAGAATGTACTTTAAATCAGACCATATATTAATTCTTCATTAAAAATTAATGCTAAAAGAACAATGTCAGACAGGCACTAGCTTCTGTAATAATGGTAGGAACAGACAAAATGAACAGAAAATTTAAATTATTTACTGGTTTCTGATATAACATATCTCATTTGTGACACTGATTGCCATTGAGTATACCAGATTGGCCATTATCATTCTCTCTCTCTCGCTCTCTCTCTCTCTTTTTTTTTTTTTTTTTTTTTTTGGTTTTTCGAGACAGGATTTCTCTGTGTAGCCCTGGCTGTCCTGGAACTCACTCTGTAGACCAGGCTGGCCTCAAACTCAGAAATCCGCCTGCCTCTGCCTCCCAAGTGCTGGGATTAAAGGCATGCACCACCACCGCCCGCCCGGCGACCATTGTCATTCTATTGGTCAGTTATTAAGTACTGTCACCCTGTCTTCTCTATTCAGTTAACACTGCATTTCAGTCTTTCCAGAAATGAAAGTTATAGTTTTCCCTTAAATGACAACTATGCCTTACTGATTTTGTTATCTTTATTTAATGCTTATACACTCTACCTCCCCTTGATAGCATAGGATGTGTACCCTGACATTTCATTTGCATAATTCTAATTACTTTTCTCCTTGCTAAAAAATGAAAACAAGAACATGTCTTCTGGGCATGCCACTGCTAATGTTTGCCTGGATGGATGGTTGGTTGGTTGTTTTTGCAGTATTAAGGAATGAATCCAAGATCACATCTGACCACTGAGCCAAATCTGGATACAGTGTCTTCTTCGTTATAATTTTATCATTGGCTCTAACATAAACCATTCCTCAAATAATGTTTGTTGGATTTAAAATAGGATCTTACATAACATTAGACAAAATGTATTGTTTTAGCTAGGCAGCTACTTTCAGCTAGTGGGGTCAAGGATC